AGAGACTGATCAACTATTACATGACACTATTAAGGTTATTCTCATCCACATTATACTTATAATTCAAATTATTATAACCCACATGCATTATCTTGTATTTATTATAATTAAAACCCATCTCCCATTTATTTGCCCAACTCACTAAATGATCTAAATCCTTTTGTAAATCAGCAGCATCCTCTTCACAGCTAGCAACACCCAAGACCTTAATATCATCTGCAAATTTGAGTAATTTATTGACTATCCCTTCATCTATGTCATTGATGTAAATCAAAAAGAGCAAAGGTCCTAAGACTGAGCCCTGAGGTACCCCATTTGTGACATTAATCCAGTTTAACTGAACTCCATTTGTAACAACCCTCTGCTTTCTTTCATCCAGCCACTCTTCTATCCAATTTGCCAACTTATCCCCCACACCTATAGAGCTAATTTTTTTTTACAAGCCTTTTATGTCGCACCTTGTCAAATGCTTTCTGAAAATCCAGATACACCGAATCTATACCCTTACCCTCATCTACCTAAGCAGTAACCTTTTCAAAGAATGAAAATGTTTCGGTGCTGGTACTGACCAAGATTTTATCCTGGGTTTTCTTGATGGAAAGTCTGGTGTTTTAACCACTTTAATTTCAGTCAACCAATTATTTGAATGTTTTCACAAGGGATTATCCAGGTTTGGCTTAACCCTATGCTAGGTTGACTGAGTGTGTTATCAGTTAGGTAGATTTGGATGACTCTTTTTTTATCTGTTTTTTTCCTTGTGTATGGTTCATATCCTATTATTTTAGTATTATGTTATTTTATCGTGTCTTCTTATTCTTTGGCATAATAGGTTATGGCAGACATATTTAAATTTCTAAGATTTGTATGTCTATTATGCTCCAGAACTATACTTTTTTTTTTTATCTTTCTGTTTCTCCAATATAATTAGAATCCACATTCAAAGGGGATGTTGTAAATGATGTTTTGTTCATTGGGTCTTTAGGTGGTTTGATGTGTACTGATATAGTGATTGTATTGTGAATAATGCACCAAACATTATATCAAGAAGATCTGGGATCAAACCCTATACACAACCAACACAGAAGCGGTCATTCTCAGGACTTCCCTGAAAACAACAGTAAATTAGCAGACAAAGCTAATGATAAAAACTACTTAGTAATTAATATACAGTTATAACAATTAGGAAAAAAGTGTTATTATTTAATAATTAGACTAATATGATCATATAGGCTACTAACAATGACAACAAATGATATCCAATTGTCACAAACTTATTGTAAGTACCTTATTCAGTTACTATAACAACATGGTTAACAGTCTGGACATTTTTTTCTCTCTCTCATTAGATATAGCAACTGTGATAAAAATCATATTATGTACAACTATAATGTTTATCAAATAAACACAGTTATTTGACATTCACTTCATAAATTAGTTAAGGAGTTGAAAACTTGCAAAAGAAATACAAATTTACATAATGAATGTCCAACAGTTTTGTTTAATAAATAGCATATTCAATGAAATTAAAACAATAACAATGTTTATCTGTTTATTACTGTCTGAAGTAACAAGTCTCTAAATACAGTAGGTCAGTGGGAAAACTTATTAACAGATAAGTTCACAGTAACTGGCTCATATCACTTTCACTCCAGCTGGGAAATATATTTCCAAGTGCTCCCACCCCCTCACACTGCAACTGTGACAAATGTTTCCCATTGTCATTCAAAATTGCAGCACGTGACGTGACGTATGGGAGTAAAATAAGTTGGAAAGTATTTATTGGCATCCAACCTAATGTTGATATATGGTTTCCCTCAATGTTTTCCACTTAGCCCTTCAGTAACCAACAAGATTCCTAAGCAGAACTGTGTGTTGACCATGCCCACATTGCTAGAGTGGCGAGTAGTAACACTAATTACTATGTAAGTTTGCTTGATGCATTTGATTCAAATAGCTTAGAAGATATTGAAAATGAGTCAAGTGGTGTTCAAATGTGTGATGATGAAGAGGCAATGAGACAAGATGATGCAAGCTCTCCACCTAGTGATGACAGTGAAGATGATGAACTGGACCCAGCAGAGGAAGGCATAAACAACATCAACAATGGGAAACATTTGTCCCATTCACAGTGTGACATGGTAGGAGCACTAAGAAATATATACATCCCAGATGTAGTAAATGAGTAAACTAGTTTCTTTTCAGAATTTCATACACCTAATTAATGTATAGTCATATTCTAAAAATATTTTGCTAAACTTCCACAAAGCTTCTTGGGTTTATACTATTATACTATGGATGATGAAGAGTCATGAACTTCCTGAGAAGCTGTCATCAATAACATCTTGAAAGGAAAAGCAATATAACTTGACAGTAACTAATGTGGACTCTTACAAAATACAGCATTTAAAATAATAATTAAAAAAAGACTACTTAAAAACTGTATTTATTTTTCATGTTAGGTGTAAAATAAATTTGAAATTTCTTATAGTACCTTAATCAAAGACAGACTTGAATCCTTCACTCTTGAAATAATGTTATCAGGGCTAATAAAAGGCATTATTGAGTACCATAAGTTTTGCACAAAATTAAATTCTTCCATTGTCAGGCTACAGTTATACTAATCACTTTTAACTGGCATATGTAGCAATAGTGATTATTCAGTTAACACAGATCAAAATATCTTTACAGTAGAAACTGTACATATAAATTAGTTGTACATCAACTGAAGTGATTTCAAATTTACATGACATAGTTTTATAACATAGCCTGGGTGTAAACTATGTTTTTTACACATATCCACATGCATATTAGTTTGCCTTTAAATAATTCTGACAAAATAATTACTACACACTATTTTATATTGTTAAATTCATGAAACAATTAGCACATTAGAACATATATATATAAATTAATTTAATAATATAATTAAAATATTTCACAAATAACACTGCCAAAAAAAAAAGATACTCTCAAAAGAAAGAACATGATGAGTGCATAATTAAATGAAAAAAAAACTGTTCTTTAGTGAAGTATTTGCAGATACTGACCAATAATTTCCCCAAGTTCATAGTCATCTTTTTTATTTGGCCAAATTTCTGATACAGTGCTGTATGAATTGCTGACTTCAGCCATTTTGACAGCTAGGAGATCACCCACACTTCTGCTGAGGGCAAGGTCTCGAAGTAAAATGTTCTTGAAGTCAAATATTTGACTGGAACTGATTTGACGATATGTAGTAGGATGTTCCGAAATAGTTCCATTGGATTGGCTGTTGTTTCTTTTTCTGAAGAAACACAACAGAGAAATGTACTATGAAGTTTCATGCATACACACTAAAACATAG